CTATCCTTTATCTGTTTGTCTGTACATACATCCACATTTAAACATCAGTTCACTGAGCTCCATCCATCTATCCAGCTACCAACTCTCCATTGATCCTTCTATCTTCAACTCTTCATTTATTCTTTCTTCTCCAACTCTATACACATCCTTCTATCTCCAACTCTCCATCTATCCTTCCATATCTTTTCATACTCATCTAATCATCCATCCATCCATCCTTCCATCTATTCATTCATCCATCCATCCATCCATCCATCCATCCTTTCATCCATCTCCAGCCCTCCAACCATCTCCAATCCTTCATCCATTCATCTTTTTTTGTCCAATTATTCTTCTTCTCTTCATCTCTACATATATCCATGTCTAAATGTCAGTTTACAGATATCCACGAATCATGAATCTCCATCCCTCTATCTATCCATCCATCTTAAACCATAAAACTGTCTTGATTCCTCCAGCAATTCATCTCTTTTTGTCTAACTAACCTTCTCTTGTTTGTCCGTCCATCCATCTATCCATCCATCCTTCCATCCATTCATCCATCCATCCATCCATCCATCCATCCATCCATCCATCCATCCATCCATTTATGCATCCATGCATACAACTAAACATACATATATGCATCCGTCCATACATCCATGCATCCATCCATTCATCCATCTATTCATATCTATCAATCCATCCTCTTTTTGCCCAACTATCTTTCTCCTTCTCTTTGTCTGTCCATATATACGTTGAAATGTCATTTCACAGATATCCATCCATCCATCTCAAACCCTCCATCAATCCATCCTTCTCCAACCATACAACTATGTCCATTCCAACTGTCCAACTATCCTTCTCCTGTTTGTTCATCCATCCCTCTATGCATCCATCCATCCACACATCTATGCTTCTATCCATTCATCCATCCATTCATATCTTTTAATCCATCCATCTATCCATCCATCCGTCTCCAACCCTTCCATTGTCTCCAGTCCTTCATCCATCCATTTTTTTGTCCAACTATCCTTTTCTTTCTATTTTCTCTGTCCATGTATACATGTCCAATTGTCAGTTTACAGATATACATCCATCCATAGTTTTTGTCCAACTATCCTTTTCCTGTTGGTCCATCTGTCCTTACATCTATGCATCCATCCATCCATACATCTATACATCTATTCATCTATCCATCTATTCATCCATTCATATTTATCAATTCACCCATCCATCTCCAACCCTCCAATCTCCCGTCCTTCGTCCATTCATCTCTTTTTGGCCAACTATCCTTCTTTTCTTTGTCTGTCCATATATAGATGTCCAAATGTCAGTTCACAGATATCCATCCATCCATTCATCTACAACCCTCCACCAATCCATCCATCTCCAACCATACAACTATCTCCATTCCTCAATTCATTTATTTTTTATTTCATTTTGTTGATGTTCAAATTCCCCTCAAGCCTCAAAACCACCTACCCTGAACTCTATTACTAGAATAACCTCTGTCTCTCGTGGTATTTTTTTCATAGGTGTATGTACAGGTAATGTGATCAGACATTAAGTTTGTCTTTGAGGTGAAGGTCATGTCAAATACTTTGAGCCCGCTGTAATTGGAGCCATTTTTCTTTCGTTGCTGCTTCATAGCTGTCTTGTTAAACTTTGGATTGAAAATAGCTGTTGGTCACTCTGCACGATCCGTGTGTGTTTGTGAATCTGTCCCCTATGTTAATGCCTTTCATGTGTGGCAGTTATTGAACCCAGCGCAAGGTTTTTCTGTATGGTCTATGATCACAGTTGACCCACACTGACTACTCTTGCTCCTCTGTAATGAAATATTTTGTTCAGGCATCCGATGTTTAATTCAGCTCATTCCAGACTGGACAGAAATGAAACCGTCATATCCTTTGTAACCTTCAGAAGCACAGACACTTTGTCTTTTCCAGTTTGAGCTGCAAGCAACCTTGAAGCAAGACGTCTGTGACAGTATTTCGTTTTATTGCCCAAACAAATTGAACAGACATGGGGTGGGAGATTTGAGTGCCCGAGGCTGCTTTTTTAATCAGCGGATGTTTTGACTTGTTTTGCTCCGGGACTTGGATTACGTTGGGTCAGACATCAAGTGACGACCCAACACATAAAATGTTGTTTTTGTTTTATCAATTTATTTATTTACCTTTTCTATTTTTGTGGGGAAAATGGAGAAAAATAAAAAGGGTATATCTGTCTACCTGTCTGTCTATCTTCCCTTGTTATATGTAAGTGCTAGTAAATATATGAAAGTACTAGCTGAAGTAATCACAGTAATTTGTGTACATTTACAGTAATTTCTAAATCGTCTTTTTGCAAATGTATTTTCAGTAGTTTGGATCATGCTTATTTGTGATAGTTTTGGTTGAAGTTTTTTTTTTTATTTTTTTTTTGTTAAGAATAAAGGCATATTCCCAGTCTATTCATTTAATTTTTGTCTATAGTTGTGTGTTTACATATCTCTCTGTATTTTGCGCTCTGTGAAATTACGTTTGGATGTGTGCACACACACACACACACACACACACACACACACACACACACACACACACACACACAAGTGAACACACTCCCACCAACAGAGAGAGAGATTGCGTCTGAAAATATGTTGCGTCAACCAGATGGGGAAAAAAGAAATCTGGTAAAAGGATGCATGCCTGCTTTCAGCCTCATGTCTGGTGTGTGACCCACAGCAATTATAGAGAGAATACTGAAAGAAACAGCAGTTCAGATTTATTCTTTCATTTTTTTTTGGCTTAATCCCTTTATTAATCTGGAGTCGCTACATCGGAATGAACCACTAACTTTTCCAGCACATGTTTTACACTGTGGATGCCCTTTCCTGCCGCAACCCAGTAATGGGAAACATCCATACACTCCCATGCACACACATTCACTATGGACAATGTAGCTTACCCAATTCACCTATGAGCACATGTCTTTGGACTGTGGGAGAAACATCCGGAGGAAACTCATGCCAACAAGACAAGAACATGCAAACTCCACACAGAAATGCCTCCTGGTCCAGCCTGGACTTGAACCAGCGACCTTCTTGCTGTAAGGCGACAGTGCTAACCACTGAACCACCATGTCACCCTGCAAATTAATTTTATAGTCTTTAATGTATGTATAAAGTGTCAATAAATCATCAAAGATGCACTTTTTATTTGAGCACACGAACGTGTTGATCCAAAACAAACAATGTCATCACAACTTAGTCGGAAAATACTGACAGCAAATACTTCCTGAAAAAACAGTATAAAACTAGAAAAGTAAAGTTTGGGGGAGGGGGCACTTTTGATCATTTTGGAAGCGCACTTTCTATCCAAGACTAAAAAGGGCATGTGCACTGCACTGGTTGAGCCCTATGTGTGCACGTGCCTGCCCTCACCTAAAAAAAGGCGTATATATGTATAAATAAAACACCCCCTCCCCACTCCAGTCACATCAGCCTGTACCAGTCTGTATCTACCTATAATATATGTAAGATGCAGGCTGTAGCTAGGTAGGTGGCAGGCTGCAGATAGGTAGCTAAGTGGCAGGCAGGGGCAGGAACAGCTTACCTTGGTTCTGGCCGGCGCGAGTTCCCTCCTAACACTTCCCGCCCGTCACAGTGTCTAACAAAGGGGCGGGGTGCGTGGTGATGTCATCGGCATCCCCGCCCCTTTGTTTACACGGCGGGCGGGGAATGCCAGTGACCGCTGTGTACGGATAGAATCAGCGGAGCGGGGAGCGCTCTCTCTCCCCGCTCCGCTGATTCTGTCAGTGTACAGCGGTCGGCGCGGGCCACAAAATATTGCACTGAGGGCCGCAAATGGCCCGCGGGCCGCGAGTTTGAGACCCCTGCTTTAGTATGTTTCTTTCAAGTATGGATTAGTATGTTGTTAGCATGTCCAATGTAAAGTCAATGGCAGTTTTTTATAATGGAAGTCTATAGGACAGTTGCTAGGATGCCATAAGTGGTTGCTAGGGTGTGGTTAGTAAGTTGAAAGGTCATCAGTGATTGGCAAATTGGTAGTCTGAGTTAAATGAGCCCAACCTTAAGTCTGTATGACAAAGTTTGGTCCAATGTTAAGTCAATGGGAGAATTTTCCAGGTCTGTTTTCAGAAAACCCTAAGTCGGATCATTTGGAAAAGATAGAGCAACCCAAGTCAGACCAGTTTGGAGTTAGTTTATTTTTTGTAGCTTAAATAGTTTAGGCGGAGATGCATATAGAAATTAGTCTCAGAAGAAGAGGGAAGAATAATACATTCATGTAGTTTAACAGTATGTTGGCTTTCTCAAGCCGCCATAATGACATGTATAAGCTATGGTGAATTGTGTAGTAAAAGGAATTATGTGTGTATAACTATCACCACAGTATCACATATAAAGCGGTAGACAAAAAATGCTCAAGTTTCTCTATTTGTTTCTCTCAGTGTTTTCTTTATACAAAACAACTTCATAATTTCTGCAAAATTTTAAAAACAAATTGTAAAAGGTGTAAACCTAGGGAAAACACTGAATGTCTCAACCCGGGCTCTATTTTCTTTCCAGGCTTTTGTGTGGTGTTGAATGTTTTATAGCATGTTAAAGCTGAATTCGAAAGGGATTTATTTATTTTTTTGTTAAACAGATGACCTCTGAAACATCCATCTTGCTATTCAAATAACATACAGCTTCAGCACTTTCCTGCATGCATCCTATGCACATATATAACATGACAGGAGATGGATCGCATCCAAAGAGAGTGCCTTTTAAACCTGCCGCAGACTACAAACCTTCTGCATTTCAGACATTGGTGATGGGAGTGTACAAATGACTGCATCTGTCCTCACTCAACCATTTCACATTTCCCCCGTTCACCTGAAATAAATGTCTGCAGATTTAGCTTTTCTCATAAATGCCACCACCAGACATCCAGGCCTCTTGTGCAATCCCCTGTCCTGAAATATTAGCGAAGGGAATGTAACAGAGCTCTCTAGTGTTTATTTTGTCTGGACAGATTGAAGACACCCAAACGGGCAGTGTTTGCAGGCAGCATGCAGCTGTTGGCAGGAATTAAGCTGTGTACGGGGAGAGTATTGACAAACCATCCACACTACGAGGACCAGGCGCTCAGGGAGAGGACCAGACAGGTAAGAGGCTCAGATTTGTTTTCACAATCAGTAAGTTTGCTTGAATCACAATTCAGTCTTAGCTGGATGTCCAGGACTTTCAGGTCTCGTGGGACAACAGACTCACTTTTTTGGTGAAAAGTTTATTCAAGTCCAAGTAAAAAAATAGTTTGGAAGATACAAGAAATAGTGTTGGGAAAATTACTTCAAATTAGGTAAGGAATTACTAATTGCTAATTACATCATTACAATTTTATTTAAGTTACCTTTGTAATTACTTTGCCTGAAACGTAATTTAATGATAATAATAAAAATAAATAATAATAATAATAATAATAATAATGATTCCTTACGTTTATATAGTGCTTTACTGGACACTCAAATCGCGTCTCTCTTCATCCACCGCCAGTGTGCAGCACCCACCTGGATTACGCGACATCAGCCATATTGTACCAGACACACACCAGCTGATTGGTGGAGAGGAGACAAAGTGATGAAGCTAGTTATGATATGGGGATGGTTAGGAGGCCATGATGAACAGAGGCCAGTGGGCAAATTTAGCCAGGATGTCGGGGTTAAACCCTTACAATTTTTTTGAAGGACATCTTGGCATTTTTAGGGACCACAGAGAGTCAGGACCTTGGTTTAACATCTCATCTGAAAGACTGCGCTCAATGAGCAGTATAGAGTTTCCATCAATATACTGGGGCATTAGGACCCACTCAGACCACAGATTGAGGGCCTCCTGCTGGACTTGCTTATTACTTACTATGTAAATTAATCACTTGATTCAATGTTACGACTTAAATATAGTTCTCTTCTAGTTCTTTACATTTGGGCCTCTTAGCTTTACTTAAAATAGTAATAATACTAAAAAGAAAAGTTAAGCACAATTTTTGTCAAACATGAAACCATTCAATGTAGGGCTGCACAATATATTGTTTTAACATTGATATCGCAATGCGCACATATGCAATGTCCAATTGGATTGTAGTTGATCAGGTACAATAGTTTGTCATTTCAAAGTTCAAAGTTTCAAATATTTGACTATAAGCATTTCAAGAGAATTTAAAAGCACACAGATGATTGTGGTTGTAGCTTCATATGTATTGAATGTTTTTTTATATAATGAAGACTACGTTTAAAAAAAATTTGTTAGATTTTTGTCCAAACTACATTTTTGCAGGGTGTCCGCAGGGTCTTAAAAGTTAGAAAAAATGTCTTTAATCTCAAGAACAAAAATTTAGATCTAAGAAAGTCTTAAATTTGCTGTAACATTGTGTTTTAGGTCTTAAATCTTTTTTAAACATGTCTTAATTTTCCTTTTGTTCATGTATAGATACTCAATCTGGCCATCACTAACACCTCAATAAAACATAACACTTTTTATTTAAAAATGTTATTTTTTAACTCTATTTACCATAATGTTTTCATTCTTTTCCTTACAATAACATTTGTTTAATAGTTCTCCATGTTTTTTACTGCTGAGGACACTGACCTTGACAGATATTTGTGCATACATTTAGTCTATTATAGTAAAAAAAAAAACATTTTTTTTAAGAAAACAAGATTTTAAAGAAAACAAGTGTATATATACAACTAGAGCTTGCTTGTTTTGAGACATTATTTTAAATATGTGTCTAAGAAATAACAAAATTATGTAACTTTTTTAATATTAAGTAATTTGTATAAATGTACTTTTAAATGTATTTTTTTCCCATTTGGGCCTTTAGAAAGACTCCTTAGCGTTAAGCTCTGTATGAGTCTAACATTTATAATAGTCTTAAACATGTCTTAAAAAGTCTTCAATTTAACTTGGTGAAACCTGCAGAAGCCCTATATTTAAAATAAACAGAAACAACACAATTCTTCAATTTTTTGAGACAACTTTATTGCTTTATGACAAATCTATGTAAAAACTAATAATTTAACTTAATTTGTTCATGTTCTCTCAACATAAATCAATTGTGTGAAACACAAGTGTATACAGTGATATGTCACATTTGATTATTCAAGTTCTGTGTCTAATTACTGTACGACGACTCAGAAAACCAGAACAGCACTATTTATTTAATCTTTTATTTATTAATTTTATTTATTAATTTATTAAATTTATGAATTTAATTTAAAAATGTATCTTTTCTCTACTGTAGGTATATGTTTGTAATTTATTTAATACATTTATGTTGATGCACTGCACTACAGACCTATCCTAATTTTTCTGAATTCTTTCCAAATGACTCTACAATGACTGTTTCTACAGAACTGTCAAGTATATGTACAGTAATGCAAGAATGAGCAACTGTAATTAAATTACCTAAAACTGAAAAGTAATCCCTTACTTTATATTTTCAGTAAAAAAAGTAATTTACTTACAGTAACCACTTTTTTCGTAACTATTGTAACAAGCAGTCTCTAAATATTTAAAATACAAAACATGCCTATATTTTATTTAATGTACATAATTTATTTTTAATATAAAGAAATGCAGTGTTCTGATTCAGAACTAAACAGATGGCCAATCAGGATCCACGTCAAAAATGAAACACTTCTCTGAACAAAGAACCAAACGGTTTCTTTTGCAATTATCCCTGATTATGTAAATTTGAAATAAATGAAGCAGCTGTAAATCAGTGAGAAATATACAAGATAGCAACACCAAAAAAACACTTCAGATACTTTGTGAAGATGTTGGGAGAAATAAATCCACTGAAGTCTGAAAGTGTGAACCTTAAACAAATCAGCTGATAATCTTACTGATGAAATTACAAATGGACCGCGTCAAGAAGATTGTGAGTAAATGGTTCATAAATCCTTTTTAAAAGCTTTCTTAATGACATATGCACTGTTATATACTTAGCCTCATCAGCAGAAGTGTGACTTTTGGCATAATTAAATGAATTACATTTCTTGTTCGGGTTGTTGGAAGTTGATGTATTAGAGGGAGTCTTTATGAAGTGAAATAAACTCCATGGCACTATTGTTAGGTGTGGAATATATATATATATATATATATATATATATATATATATATATATATATATATATATATATATATATATATATATATACACACACATATATACACACACATATATATATATATATACACACATATATACACACACATATATATATATATATATATATATATATATATATATATATATATATATATATATATATATATATATATATATTTATATATTTATATATTATATAAGACTTTATCCAGAAGAAAATTTATTATCGGAAATACTGTGAAAAATTCCTTGCTCTGATAAACATAATTTGGTTAAAAAAAATTTTACTCACAGGAAGGCTAATAATTCTGACGCCAACTGTGTGTACAAACTCACATTATAAATACAAAACACACATATTTAGATATGTAATGTATACTTTCTCTAATCTTCATCTGTTTTAAACGTCTGATTGGTTCTCTTGCTCACTTTTCTATGTAATATTACTTTTTCCTTTTGACTACAGGACATAGAGGTTTATTGCTTGAGTTTTTGAGGCTGAATGTTGAGGTTAAGAGGTGGTAGAAGCCTGAGGAGGATTTCTCATGATCAAATAAGAGTGTGTTCATTCTCATATTTTTAGGGAGGGAGAATATACGGTTCTGAACTGCTGAAGAAAGATAAGTCTCATTCTATACCATACCACCTTCATTCTGAGAATTGCTTTGACAAGAATGACCCAAATTTCCTTTCAAACTAAAACAATAAAAGCTGAAACTCTCCTACTGGAGATAGAGGGTACAAGTGTTTATGTTGGACTTGGAAATGAGGTGTCAGGTGGAAGCGCTTTCTTGGTTTAAGTTACATTTATCTGTATTGATGTAATGATTCACTGTGAGTCGGTTGAAAATGGATTCAAATATGTGATGATTCAAACCAGTTGAAATGTTGAATGATGCTGTGTTTAAAGATGCAATCTTGCTTTACCTGCACATCAGAGGCGAGTAAGAGGTGAGCCGGCAGAGTAAAATTACAGCGGTGAAGTAGGCCAGACAAACTGTTTGCAAATACTGTGAAGAGACATTGACTTACACTAACAGAATAACAAATATGATGCACATAAACCATCAGAACAGTGAAAAACTACTGTCACAGATGTATATATACGCAAAATAAAATAAAATAAAATAAAATAAGCCAAATCATGCAAACCGGAGGAATTGCAGCTCCGCTTACTTTGACGAGTGCTATGGAAATTACACAGTGCATCAGTGTTTTCATAGCGATAGTGTATAGATTATTTTCAGACTAAAAGAGAAAGCTGTGCTAATACAGAAGCAGGTATTAGATTATTTTTACTCTCTCCTTTTAAATGAGTTTATGCATATTTGCTCATTAATATTGAATATTTAAAAATGTTTAAGATTATCTCTTCTTAAGTTTATTACATTAAAACTTACTATTTAATATACTAATTAATTATACAAGTAATATTAATTATTCACCTTCATAATCATGTTCAACTCTTGACTCTATTCTACTGTATATTTAGTAATTTTATAATCAGTTTGTTTATGCCAGTCTCCTGGATCAGAGGACCTATTGACCACCTCTGTACACACTGATCCCTGGTTTAGGAAAGGCTTTACTCTCCGCACCAGCCATCTCAGTCAGTTTACATTGTAAATGTACAAAGACCTCAACTTATACATAGATATGCTGATATCTCCTTTTTAAGATGTCAAATCTCAGCACAGTTTTAGTTTGTTTATAATAATGAGTCTTCTTGAGTTTGTATTATTCTTGTTTTGGAAATTGTTTTTAAAATAGCATTTAAATGCAAAAAAAAATGTGTAGCATTTAGGAAAAAATGAAAGTGCTCTTCACCCTAAATTTTGTAAAAAAAAAAAAAAAATCATGACTGAATTGTGAATTGTGAGATAACTATCTTAAATCCTATCGAATCAAGAGTGTGGTGAATCGTTACATCCCTGATACGTAAATATTAAGTTCAATGGGATGTTTACACTTCTTGTTTATCCCTTTAGTTCAACTTAT